TTCAAGGCAACCCTGGATGAGATGTACTCCCTTCTTCAGAACTTCCCGTATGTGCAGGTGGTATTCTAGCAACCGGCAGATTATTATTCAGAATTATATTTCGAACCCATGGATACCAAACACAGCATAGCTGTGTCACCTAGGAGGGAGGCAACTGCATTCTCCCCTTTCCTATGTGCTAACATAGTCCTGTATGACCTTGATTTGTTCGGTATGATATTCCCTATTCAAATGTATACAGTATCGAATATTAATGTGCCCTGTTCCTGTTGAATTCTATGAACTGTATGTGGAATGGTTACATGTGGAATATTATTATTATTATTATTATACAGGATTTATATGGCGCCAACAGTTTGCTCAGCACTTTACAATATAACGGGAGACAATACAGCAACAATACAGTTCATTACAAGAGGGTTAGGAGGGCCCTGATCCTGGGAGCTTACAATCTAGGAATAGATGTTTTATGGCACGCTCTGTATTCCAAGAGCTCTAATGGCCTTACAGGTCATGTGTGATGGCTTGACTGAGTTATTATTGTTTTACGATAGGGCAGAGGAAAGTGTTTTCCATGGTTTGTGGAAACAGACGTCCTGCCAAGACGAATTATCTGGACAGGTCTGCACGCTGGCATCTATCTGTGTTTTAATTAAAGTCTTTTAATGTTTGTTAAAAGTTACAGCTACAAATTCCATAGCTTTCAGGAGAAAGGAGGAGGGGAGGAAGATCATTGCTCATGAAAAACAAAAATGCTGAGACCTTAACAAGATGGCATGTCGTGTACAGCTCCATGTTTCTGTTGTGCACAATCATTACAATGGGCACTAATAGACGGCACTAATGGGTATTGATGAGGCTACACTAATAGGTGGCACTGATGGGCGTCTGATGGGGCTGCACTAATAGGTGGCACTAATGGGCATTGACGAGGCCGCACTAATAGGTGGCACTGATGGGTGTCTGATGGGGCTGCACTAATAGGTGGCACTAATGGGCATTGACGAGGCCGCACTTATAGGTGGCACTGATGGGCATTGATGAGACTGCACTAATAGGTGGCACTGATGGGCATTGATGAGGCTGCACTAATAGGTGCACTGATGGGCATTGATGAGGCTGCACTAATAGGTGGCACTGATGGGCATTGATGAGGCTGCACTAATAGGTGCACTGATGGGCATTGATGAGGCTGCACTAATAGGTGGCACTGATGGGCGTCTGATGGGGCTGCACTAATTGGCATTGATGAGGCTGCACCAATAGGCGACACTGATGGGCATTGATGAGGCTGCATTAATAGGTGGCACTGATGGGCATTGATGAGGTTACACTAATAGGTGGTACTGATGGGCATTGATGAGGCTACACTAATAGGCGGCACTGATTGGGCATTGATAAGGCTGCACTAATAGGCGGCACTGATTGGGCATTGATGAGGCTGCACTCATAGGTGGCACTGATGGGCATTGATGAGGCTGCACTCATAGGTGGCACTGATGGGCATTGATGAGGCTGCACTCATAGGTGGCACTGATGGGCATTGATGAGGCTGCACTCATAGATGGCACTGATGGGCTTTGATGAGGCTGCACTCGTAGATGGCACTGATGGGCATTGTTGAGGCTGCACTAATAGGTGGAACTGATGGGCATTGATGAGGCTGCATTAATAGGCAGCACTGATTGGACAATGATGAGGCTGCACTAATAGGTGGCACTGATGGGCATTGATGAGGCTGCACTCATAGGTGGCACTGATGGGCATTGATGAGGCTGCACTCATAGGTGGCACTGATGGGTGTCTGATGGGGCTGCACTGATGATCAGGGCACTGATGATCAGTGTAAATGTCCCCTGTCAGAATTTGCAGTCATTGGCTCTCCTCTCCTCACATTGTGATAGTACATGAGGAAAGAACTGCCCATAAACCGCAAGTTTACTTACATGTGATCAGCTGTGATTGGACACAGCTGATCACATGGTAAAGTGCCGCTGTAATTGGCCCTTTACCTCGATCTGTGATCAGCTGTGCTCTACTCTACTCTTCTCTTTTTGCTCTTCTCTGCTCTTTTCGCTCTTCTCTTTTCGCTCTTTTCTTCTCTTTTCGCTCTTTTCTTTTCTTTTCGCTCTTCTCTGCTCTTCTCTTTTCGCTCTTCTCTGCTCTTTTCACTCTTCTCTGCTCTTCTCTTTTCGCTCTTCTCTGCTCTGCTGTTTTTGCTCTTCTCTTTGCACTCTTCTCTCCTCTTTTCGCTATCCTCTGCTCTTTTTGCTATCCTCTGCTCTTCTCTTTTCACTCTTCTCTTTTCACACTGCTCTTCTCTTTTCGCTCTTCTTTATATTCTATTCTGTTTTATTCCATTCTATTCTATAAAGCAGCCTAAGTAAGAATCATCATCTTATTTCACTTTTATACCTCACTGTATTTACTGCAATATATTTCCAATTTGGATCGTTTGTTTTTTTTATCATTTATTTTGGACTGACATTCATTACTATCGTGATTTAGAATTTTGGATACATCCAAATCTCCAAAAACTAAAAAATTTGTCCAAATTTCAGTGCATCACAAGATGAACGGGGCACATGTCTAGCTTGTAACAGTTCAGGGAATGGAGGTGACACTGCAGGGGCAGGCCCCATCCCGGCATAGCCGCTCCAACCCGAGGACGTCATGAGACGTCGTATGGGCAGGAAGTGGTTAATTTCCTGTGCCTGCAGGTAGATGTACGGTCCATTTCAGGGGCGAGCAAGAAAGGTTAGCTACCATCACACACATAAGGGGGGCATAGAGAATGTAGCCACCCTAGAACAGGAAGTCTGAGAAAAGCAGAAAAAAAAGCTTGCAGCCTGACTAGGACCCCGCCCACTCCTCCAGACTGACACCCGCCCATCAAGACACATACCTCCTCGCACAGCATGCATCGGGGCTGTGGGCTCTTGAGGGAACACTAAGGCAGGGTGCTGTGATGTTTTCAGGAAGCAATGCACAGCACCCTGCCAGGCCCCTCCCACCTGCCATGAATGGCCTGCATTACATAGAGAAGCACAGAGATCCAGTGATGACATCACTGGATCTAAAAATAAGGTTGAACCTCCATCAGGAAGATTTATTCCCCCCACTGTGTCCTGGCGATACTCCCATGACTGCAACCCAGGAAATGATACACTCTGTAATGGCAAAAGCCCACGGATACCTGATCATCGCACCTTGTGCACTGACATCCCATTCTAAAACTGCGAACATCAATTATGGAGTTCCCCATCTGCCTCCATGGCCATCAATATGGAGTTCCCCATCTCCCTACATGACCATCAATATGGAGTTCCCCATCTCCCTCCATGGCCATCAATATGGAGTTCCCCATCTCCCTACATGACCATCAATATGGAGTTCCCCATCTCCCTCCATGGCCATCAGTATGGAGTTCCCCATCTCCCTCCAGGGCCATCAATATGGAGATCCCCATCTTCCTCCATGCCATCAATATGGAGCTCCCCATCTCCCTCCATGGCCATCAATATGGAGCTCCCCATCTCCCTCCATGGCCATCAGTATGGAGTTCCCCATCTCCCTCCAGGGCCATCAATATGGAGATCCCCATCTCCCTCCATGCCATCAATATGGAGCTCCCCATCTCCCTCCATGGCCATCAATATGGAGCTCCCCATCTCCCTCCATGGCCATCAATATGGAGCTCCCCATCTCCCTCCATGGCCATCAATATGGAGCTCCCCATCTCCCTCCATGGCCATCAATATGGAGTTCCCCATCTCCCTCCATGGCCATCAATATGGAGCTCCCCATCTCCCTCCATGGCCATCAATATGGAGCTCCCCATCTCCCTCCATGGCCATCAGTATGGAGTTCCCCATCTCCCTCCAGGGCCATCAATATGGAGATCCCCATCTCCCTCCATGCCATCAATATGGAGCTCCCCATCTCCCTCCATGGCCATCAATATGGAGCTCCCCATCTCCCTCCATGGCCATCAATATGGAGCTCCCCATCTCCCTCCATGGCCATCAATATGGAGCTCCCCATCTCCCTCCATGGCCATCAATATGGAGTTCCCCATCTCCCTCCATGGCCATCAATATGGAGCTCCCCATCTCCCTCCATGGCCATCAATATGGAGCTCCCCATCTCCCTCCATGGCCATTAATATGGAGGTTGAAAATAAGGTTTGTAATGGAAATGAAAACACTTTAATTCAAATGTGCATAAATGCTCATATTTGGGCATATAAATGCGCTCACACTATATTGCCCCAAGTATTGTTCAGCCGGCCTTTCCACCCACATGACCTTTAATGGCCTCCCAGTCTTAATCTGTAGGGTTCAATATTGAGTTGGCACCGCCCTTTCCACACACATGACCTTTAATGGCCCCCCAGTCTTAGTCCGTAGGGTTCAATATTGAGTTGGCCCCGCCCTTTGCAGCTATAACAGCTTCAACTCTTCTGGGAAGGCCGTCCACAAGGTTTAGGAGGGTGTCTATGGGGAGGTTGGACCATTCTTCCAGAAGCACATTTGTCAGGTCAGGCACTGATGTCGGGGGAGGAGGCCTGGCTCGCAGTCTCCGCTCTAATTCATCCCAAAGGTGTTCTATGGGGTTGAGGTCAGGACTCTGTGCAGGACAGTCAAGTTCCTCCACCCCAAACTGGCTCCTCCATGTCTTTATGGACCTTGCTGTGTGCACTGGTGGACAGTCATATTGGAACAGGAAGGGGCCATCCCCAAACTCTTCCCACAAAGTTGGGAGCATGAAATTGTCCTAAATGTCGCCTTAAGAGTTTCCTTCACTGGAACTAGGGGGCCAAGCCCAACCCCTGAAAAACACCCCCACACCATAATCCCCCCTCCACCAATCTTTACACTTTGTACAATGCAGTCAGGGAAGTACCGTTCTCCTGGCCACCGCCAAACCCAGACATGTTCATTGGATTGCCAGACAGAGAAGCGTGATTGGTCACACCACAGAACACGTCTCCCCTTCTCTAGAGTCCAGTGGCGGCGTGCTTTACACCACGGCATCCGACGCTTTGCATTGCACTTGGTGATGGAAGGCTTGGATGCAGCTGCTTGGCCATGGAAACCCATTCCATGAAGCTCTCTACGCACTGTTGTTGGGCTCATCTGAAGGCCACACCAAGTTTGGAGGTCTTTAGCTATTGACTCTGCAGACAGTTGGTGACTTCTGCGCACTGTGCGTTTCAGCATGCGCTGACCCCGCCCTGTCATGTGACGTGGCCTACCACTTGGTGGCTGAGTGGCTGTTGTTCCCAGTTGCTTCCACTTTGTTATAATCCCACTAACAGTTGAGCGTGGAATATTTAGTAGCCAGGAAATGTCACGGATGGACTTATTGCCCAGGTGGCCACCTATCACGGGACCACGCTTGGAGTCACTGAGCTCCTGAGAGCGACCCATTCTTTCACCAATGTTTGTAGAAGCCGTCTCATGCATGCCTAGGGGATGGATTGTATACACCTGTGTCCATGGAGGGGATTGGAACACCTGAATCACATGATTGGGAGGGGATTGGGACACCTAAATCACATGATATGGAGGGGATTGGAACACCTGAATCACATGATTGGGAGGGGATTGAAACACCTGAATCACATGATATGTAGGGGATTGGAACACCTGAATCACATGATGTGGCGGGGATTGGAACACCTGAATCACATGATGTGGAGGGGATTGGAACACCTGAATCACATGATATGGAGGGGATTGGAACACCTGAATCACATGATTGGGAGGGGATTTGAACACCTGAATCACATGATATGTAGGGGATTGGAACACCTGAATCACATGGTTGGGAGGGGATTGGAACACCTGAATCACATGCTTGGGAGGAGACTGGAACACCTGAACCATTCATCACAGAGGAGATCAAGGAACAGATGTTCCTCCATCTCTACTGTGTGAAGCCGTCCTGGTTTCTTACCACAGGCAGCAGCAGGAGGAGGGGGGAGCAGGGGTGGACTGACCATTCAAGCACTCGGGCCCAGGGTCAGTAGGGGGCCCCATGATATGCCCCTGGTACTTTTTATAGGCTTTTTTGGGTGTGCTTTGAGTGTGGGCAAGGACATAGAGGCCCCATGATCCCCTATTGCCTTGGGGCCCCATGAGTTGTCAGTCCGCCCCTGGGGGGGAGGGGGGATTCACAGCGCCAGAAATGCGCTCAGACAGCTGCAATGCTGCCCGGACCACTTTTACAAAAGATATATAAAAAATAGGTATAATGTATGTAATGTGTACAGCTGCAGCCGTGATATCGGTACAACCACCTGCTGATGGGACGTTAACAAGGGGTTAATATGACCATTGATTCAGATACCACAGGGACGATACAACTCAGTGATAGCACATCGATCGTTCTGTAAACAATGACAAACGCCGCGATTGTGACATGGCACAGGAATGGAGTCTGATTGTGCAAAGTCTCAGAATCGAGTCGTTTCCAGAAAGACGATCGTTTTCATTTATATTCTTCCTGTCAGAACACACCTCTGTAACCTGAGCATGGGAATCACACCCCATGAAAAGACATCAGCACATCGAATTCACCGAACCGCACACTGAGCGGGCATTCCATCGAATGTAATGAGTAGGAACATCGCCCAAGCCAGAATGGTGCTCACACAGGCTATAGCAGGGTACACACTTCTGAGAGTTCAATAATATTAACCCCTTGCCTATCAGGCACTGTCACCCCCTTCCTGTCTACCAGGCACTGTCACCCCCTTCCTGCCTACCGTACACTTCTACCCCCTTCCTGCCCACCGGGCACTTCTACCCCCTTCCTGCCTACCGGGCACTTCTACCCCCTTCCTGCCTACCGGGCACTTCTACCCCCTTCCTGCCTACAGGACACTTCTACCCCCTTCCTGCCCACCGGGCACTTCTACCCCCTTCCTGCCTACAGGACACTTCTACCCCCTTCCTGCCTACAGGACACTTCTACCCCCTTCCTGCCCACCGGGCACTTCTACCCCCTTCCTGCCCACCGGGCACCTCTACCCCCTTCCTGCCTACCGGGCACTTCTACCCCCTTCCTGCCTACCGGGGACCTCTACCCCCTTCCTGCCTACAGGGCACTTCTACCCCCTTCCTGCCCACCGGGCACTTCTACCCCCTTCCTGCCTACCAGGCACTTCTACCCCCTTCCTGCCCACCGGGCACTTCTACCCCCTTCCTGCCTACTGGGCACTTCCACCGCCTTCCTGCCTACCGGGCACTTCTACCCCCTTCCTGCCTACAGGACACTTCTACCCCCTTCCTGCCCACCAGGCACTTCTACCCCCTTCCTGCCTACTGTGCACCTCTACCCCCTTCCTGCCCACTGGGCACTGTCACCCCCTTCCTGCCCACTAGGCACTGTCACCCCCTTCCTGCCTACTGGGCAATTCTACCCCCTTCCTGCCTACCAGGCACTTCTACCCCCTTCCTGCCTACCGGGCACTTCTACCCCTTTCTGCCTACCGGGCACTGTCACCCCCTTTCTGCCTACCGGGCACTTCTACCCCCTTCCTGCCTATTGGGCACTTCTACCCCCTTCCTGCCTACCGGGCACTTCTACTCCCTTCCTGCCTACAGGGCACTTCTACCCCCTTCCTGCCTACCGGGCACTTCTACCCCCTTCCTGCCCACCGGGCACTTCTACCCCCTTCCTGCCCACCGGGCACTTCTACCCCCTTCCTGCCCACCAGGCACCTCTACCCCCTTCCTGCCTACAGGGCACTTCTACCCCCTTCCTGCCCACCGGGCACTTCTACCCCCTTCCTGCCTACAGGACACTTCTACCCCCTTCCTGCCCACCGGGCACTTCTACCCCCTTCCTGCCCACCGGGTACTCTTCTACCCCCTTCCTGCCTACAGGACACTTCTACCCCCTTCCTGCCTACTGGGCACCTCTACCCCCTTCCTGCCTACAGGATACTTCTACCCCCTTCCTGCCCACTGGGCACTGTCACCCCTTTCCTGCCCACTGGGCACTGTCACCCCCTTCCTGCCTACTGGGCAATTCTACCCCCTTCCTGCCTACCGGGCACTTCTACTCCCTTCCTGCCTACAGGACACTTCTACCCCTTTCTGCCTACCGGGCACTTCTACCCCCTTCCTGCCTACAGGGCACTTCTACCCCCTTCCTGCCTACCGGGCACTTATACCCCCTTCCTGCCTACAGGGCACTTCTACCCCCTTCCTGCCTACCGGGCACTTCTACCCCCTTCCTACCCACCGGGCACTTCTACCCCCTTCCTGCCTACCGGGCACTTCTACCCCCTTCCTGCCTACCGGGCACTTCTACCCCCTTCCTGCCCCCGGGCACTTCTACCCCCTTCCTGCCCACCAGACACTTCTACCCCCTTCCTGCCTACAGGACACTTCTACCCCCTTCCTGCCTACAGGACACTTCTACCCCCCCCTTCCTGCCTACAGGACACTTCTACCCCCTTCCAGCCTACAGGGCACTTCTACCCCCTTCCTGCCTACAGGACACTTCTACCCCCTTCCTGCCTACAGGACACTTCTACCCCCTTCCTGCCTACAGGACACTTCTACCCCCTTCCAGCCTACAGGGCACTTCTACCCCCTTCCTGCCTACAGGGCACTTCTACCCCCTTCCTGCCTACAGAACACTTCTACCCCCTTCCTGCCTACAGGGCGCTTCTACTCCCTTCCTGCCTACAGGGCACTTCTACCCCCTTCCTGCCTACCGGGCACTTCTACCCCCTTCCTGCCCACCGGGCACTTCTACCCCCTTCCTGCCCACCGGACACCTCTACCCCCTTCCTGCCTACAGGGCACTTCTACCCCCTTCCTGCCTACAGGGCACTTCTACCCCCTTCCTGCCCACCGGGCACTTCTACCCCCTTCCTGCCCACCGGGCACTTCTACCCCCTTCCTGCCTACCGGGTACTTCTACCCCCTTCCTGCCTACAGGACACTTCTACCCCCTTCCTGCCTACTGGGCACCTCTACCCCCTTCCTGCCTACAGGACACTTCTACCCCCTTCCTGCCTACTGGGCACTGTCACCCCCTTCCTGCCTACTGGGCAATTCTACTCCCTTCCTGCCTACAGGGCACTTCTACTCCCTTCCTGCCTACAGGGCACTTCTACCCCCTTCCTGCCTACCGGGCACTTCTACCCCCTTCCTACCCACCGGGCACTTCTACCCCCTTCCTGCCTACAGGGCACTTCTACCCCCTTCCTGCCTACCGGGCACTTCTACCCCCTTCCTGCCCCCCGGGCACTTCTACCCCCTTCCTGCCCACCGGACACTTCTACCCCCTTCCTGCCTACAGGACACTTCTACCCCCTTCCTGCCTACCGGGCATTCTACCCCCTTCCTGCCTACAGGACACTTCTACCCCCTTCCAGCCTACAGGGCACTTCTACCCCCTTCCTGCCTACAGGGCACTTCTACCCCCTTCCTGCCTACAGGGCACTTCTACAGGGCACTTCTACCCCCCTTCCTGCCTACAGAACACTTCTACCCCTTCCTGCCCAGGGCCAGTTTTCAGCGCTGTTGCACTTTGAATGACAATTGCACGGTCATGCAACACTCTACCCATATGAAATTTTTTCAATTTTTTTCACACACATAGAGCTTTCTTTTGGCAGTATTTCATCGCCTCTGCGATGTTTTATTTTTTGCACTATAAAACACAAAAAAAAGCAGAAAATTGGAAAAAAAAAAAGTTTTTTCTTTGTTTCTATTATACAACTGACTTACAGCACTGACTGGCGGCACTGATGAGCAATGAAGGGTGGCACTGATGGGAGGCACTGGTGGGTGGCACTGCTGGGCGGCGCTGCTTGGCACTGATCATCAGGGTACTGATCATCAGTGCCCTGATGATTAGTGCCGATCTGTTCTATGACAGCACTGACAGGTGACACTGCTGGGCACTGATGGGCGGCATTACTAGGCACTGATGGGTACAACTGCTGGGCAACACTGCTGGGGGGCACTGCTGGGTGGCGCTGTTGGGCACTGATCATCAGTGCCCTGATGATCAGTGCTGATCTGTTCTATGACAGCACTGACAGGTGGCACTGATGGATGGCACTGATGGGCAGCACCACAAGGCACTGAGGGGCGCAACTGCTGGGCAACACTGATGGGAGGCACTGCAGAGCAGTGGTGGGTGGAACTGCTGGGTGGCACTCCTGGGCACTGATCATCAGTGCCCTGATGATCAGTGCCGATCTGTTCTATGGCGGCACTGATGGGTGGTCTCTGATAGGCAGCACCAATAGGCACTGATGGGCACAACTGCTGGGCAACACTGATGGGGACACTGATGGGAGGCACTGCAGGGCGGAACTGCTGGGCGGCGCTGCTGGGCACTGATCATCGGTGCCCTGATGATCAGTGCTGATCTGTTCTATGACAGCACTGACAGGTGGCACTGATGGATGGCACTGATGGGCAGCACCACAAGGCACTGAGGGGCGCAACTGCTGGGCAACACTGATGGGAGGCACTGCAGAGCACTGGTGGGTGGAACTGCTGGGTGGCACTCCTGGGCACTGATCATCGGTGCCCTGATGATCAGTGCCGATCTGTTCTATGGCGGCACTGATGGGTGGTCTCTGATAGGCAGCACCAATAGGCACTGATGGGCACAACTGCTGGGCAACACTGATGGGGGCACTGATGGGAGGCACTGCAGGGCGGAACTGTTGGGCGGCGCTGCTGGGCACTGATCATCGGTGCCCTGATGGTCAGTGCCGATCTGTTCTATAACAGCACTGACAGGCGGCACTGATGGGTGGCACTGATGGGCAGCGCCACTAGGCACTGATGGGCGCAACTGCTGGGCAACACTGATGGGGGGCACTGATGGGCGGCACTGCAGGGCACTGATGATCAGCGCCTTGATGATTAGTGCC